ATACGCATGCAACGAGGAGTGGCATTCCTGTCTGCCTTTTCTGTATAACCTGCTGTACAAATACTGAACAGATACATGCATGGATGGATCCAGGATTTAAATAAAAGAAGGGGCACAATTCACTTTCTGACAACCAAGCAAGCAACTACTAAAAAATTTGTTTTCTAGATTCATCCCTTTTTGGGTGGTATTTTAGTCTGAAATTCTCTGACAAACCCCCTCCTCCCCCTGCAAAAAAGAGGCATTTTTAAATATTTAATTTGGAGCTTTGTGGGGGGGGGGGGCAACTTGGGGGGGGGGGGGTGTACTTTATATGCCTCATGGGTTTCAAAAAGGGGGGCATGAGCAGGTTGTGCTCCTGGGTAAATGCATTTACATGTTTGGAGAACTAGTCCAAATTGAATGAGAAGTGAGGATAACCTCGGAGGAGAGGAAGCTAAGTGTTTGATCTTCGCATTATGCACCTCTACATAAATCGGGCTGGTAATGGGTTGGGGGAGGGGGGAGGGAGGGGGGGGGGAGATAGTATGGAGATTGGAGAAATGAGAGAGACAGAAGAAGTAGTGAACACAGATTTAATCAAATATCTCAGTCAGAGGTTCTTGCTTGATGCACAGTGTACATGCGTGGGGAAAGGAGGGAGAGAGGGGAAATCAAATGACAGAGGAGTGAGAGAATTTGAAGATGGAGAAATGAAAGGGTCAGGAAGAGAAAGGAGAAAGAGAGGACGAGGGGAAGGAGGAAAAAGGAAGAAGGGAGAACAGATCCAGAGCACAACATATATACATACATATACCGGTAGATCTTTGTTTTAGCAAGAAGGGCATTATTAATTTTCAATTCAATTTAGTTTATTCATTTCCATAAAAATCACATTACAAGAACACATACATTTGCAAATAGTACTGTAAATAACATGCAAAATCTTTCACTAGAATATACATACGTACATTAAAATATTAAACAATATTGGAAAAAGGAAAGTTATAAAAACCCAAATAAATGAGTCTGTCTAGATATCTCCCCATCATTATTATTTTAAGCAGAGCTAATGCCCCTTCAGGTCTTCAGAGAGGAGATGTAGTAAGAGACATTGAGTATGGAATTGATTTTCGTTTGGAGGCAGACATCTTTCTTATCGGAACACATTGTCAAAACATGCGGAAACATTAAAAACAGGTAATGCAATTAGAGAGTCTGGAGAAAAACAGAACTGTGCCTACATGTAACTCCCAAGAGATCAATGCAACTGAATTTAAAATTCATGATCATGAATAGCATTTGGAGGAAAGGAGTTTTCCCGCACACATTCATCATTATAGTTTTGACAGCAGCGGTGCTTACTGTAGCTATGGATATAGATGTGGTTTACTAGTGAAATGCTTTACAAAACAATGTACCATGAAGGATTGTCAAAGGGATCGTTTAACAATGTTAAATCTGAGATGCTCGGCCCTACGTGTTATCAGTGTCTGTGATATGGTGTTATATTGAAGCCCTAAAACAATTGCGCTTCAAAAGGATCAAGAAGTGCCTCAAAAAAGTAAAAACCTTTGAGTGACCGGTTTTACCATACTCGTTTTCCCCAATAGACTGTAGTGTTATGAAAACCGTTTGGCAAACGCAAAATTTGATTTCAATTTTCAATCATAAATATCTTGATAATCAGACAGGCGATCGGCTTGTATTAAAAGACATGGGGTTCATGACTGACCTAAAGGTTTATAATTTTCATTGCAGCATGAGCTAATTAAAGGATCTAAGACAAAGTTATCGGATCCCTTTAAAGGGGATGTCCACCCTGATAATTTGCTGGCATTAATAAAAGCAGAAAAATGAGGGAAACAAATTTGTGAAAGTTTGAGCAAAATACCATTAGAAGTAGGAAAGTTATGGATGTTTGAAGTAATCATCAGTGAAACATGAGTTGGCAACACTAACGTTTCTTGCAAGCTCTTCTCCAATTCGCTCTGTATAAATTTGTTAATGGTATTTCCTAGAAGTTATACTATTTCTAAAAAATATATAACAAAAGACACAAATACAAACAGACATATATAAATACAGTTATACATCGACACCTACTACTGAAGAAAAAAATATTCTTGAAGAAATGCAAAGAATAGTGTACATATTATGCCTACTTGTATTACTTTATTGTGGTGAATAGTACTCTACTCAGTGGTGAGGATAGTAGCAGGTTTCAAGCTACGTCTAGCTAGCTAGGATCGCTACACCGTAGGTTACTTACTATATGCAGCATTATCCACCCACCCACCCACCTACCCCACTGCCTTTCATCTGTAAATCAAGGCCTTGCTCTTGCCGATATCCTCATCATCTATTCCTCCCACACAGCAACCAACCTTACCGCCTTTAGCACTAGTTTGCAGGTACAAACCTTTGTTCGTTGTCATCAGGGGAAAAAAAAATTAAAAACATTTCGGGGGCTACTTTTCAAGCTTACTTGCATGAAAATAACACTCTTTAATTTCTGTTGCATTGAACTCCATACAATTTTTTTGGGGGGCTCTTTTATGACTTTTGGGGGCTTTTTTGGCATTTCAGGGGCAAATTTGCCCCAAGCCCCCGTGTATTTTTTCCCCTGGTTGTCACTTGTCATGCATTTTGAACAGAGGGTCTGAATCGAGGAGACTAAACAGAGACCTCAGTCAACAGGCCCTGTACTGTAGCTGCTCCTGGCGCAACCAGGGACAAACGGAGTTGAGCTCTGCTCCAGACTTTCTTGGATTGTGTTTGAGTGTCAAATGAGAGTCTGCGCTTGCAGACTAACCGACCACACCACAGTTGACTAGCCATCGAACAGGATGCAGGCAGTCAGACAGCTGTTGCCATAGCAACCCATCCAATCCTTTAGACAGTGTCAGATTAGCATAGAAATGGATTGAATGTTTAGCCCAAGGCCCCCTCTTGTAGATTGCATTTTAACTAGAAAGAAAGGACACCTTTCTGTTTGCGCCCCGTGCGGGTCAACGTATTTTACTTCGACAAGCGTATTCTTATTTGTTAAATAGAAAGGATAAGATGATGACTTTGTAGGCGCTTGTTTCATATTTACTAATGTAAATGCATAATTTATAGGTTGTTTGCTGTATCCATGCACATGTGTGTGGTATGAGCGCATCAGCTGGTAGATCCAGCACATAGAAGACGTCCTTATTACTATTTATAGGTATCAGTGAAGTGATGCTGAAATACAATCATGGATATGCATTGTAAAATGATCATCCTTGAGACTGAATATTTCATTAGTCGTGCTAGTATAACCACAAAACATGAATATAATTTTCCACGGGTTGAAGCAGTGTTACAAGTTACACTGCTTCAACCCGTGGAAAATTATATTCATGTCAATTTCCTATCTTATCAATTTTTCAGATATCTCCCATTTTTAGAGACAATATTCTATGAACATCTCCTTTTCACATAAATTTTAGAAAATGGAAACCTCTCCCCCCCCCCCCCCCTAAATCTGCATTTTGTAATTTGGAAAAGAAGTTACTTTAAACTTTATTACAGTTGTTAAGGGACTGATACTGGAACAGAATATACATTTGCCCTATTTTTAAAAAATAAATCTTTGTTGTGCTACAGATGTATCATTTTCTTTTGGCCTTTACTTCGTATGAAAGCTGATTTTTCAATTTTGTAAACCATAATCTCAGCCTTCATTCAAATATGTGTACACTGTATTGCTATTTTTATGCCTCCGCCACCGAAGGTGGTGCCGGAGGCATCATGTTTTCAGGTTGTCCATCCGTACGTCCGTCCCGTTTGACCGTTATCACAATATCTCAAGAACCATTTAAGATTTAAACTTAAGACTCTGGAATAGTATTTATCACCATAGGAAGACGATCTGATTAGATTTTGGAGTACGTAGGTCAAAGGTCACAGGTCACAGAGGTCAACTTATGAAATTCCTTGTATTGAGTTTGTTAGCGCGATATCTCAAGAACCATTTGAGATTTAAACTTCAAACTTAAGGATAGTATGTATCACCATAGGAAGACGATCTGATTAGATTTTGGAGCACGTATGTCAAAGGTCAAGGGTCACAGAGGTCAACTTATGAAATTCCATACATTGAGATTGTTATCATGATATCTCAAGAACCACTGTAGATTTAAACTTCAAACTTAGTGATAGTGTGTATCACTATAGGAAAACAATCTGATTACATTTTGGAGCATGTAGGTCAAAGGTCAAGGGTCATAGAGGTCAACTTATGAAATTCCATACATTGAGATTGTTATCATGATATCTCAAGAACCACTGGAGATGTAAAAACTTCAAACTTAAGGATAGTATGTATCACCATAGGAAGACGATCTGATTAGATTTTGGAGCACGTAGGTCAAAGGTCAAGGGTCACAGAGGTCAACTTATGAAATTCCATACATTGAGATTGTTATCATAATATCTCAAGAACCACTGGAGATTTTAACTTCAAACTTAATGATAGTGTGTATCACCATAGGAAGACAATCTGATTAGATTTTGGAGCACGTAGGTCAAAGGTCAAGGGTCACAGAGGTCAACTTATGAAATTCCATACATTGAGATCGTTATCGCGATATCTCAAGAACCACTGGAGAATTTTCACTTCAAACTTAATGATAGTATGTATCACCATATCATAATATCTCAAGAACCACTGGAGATTTAAACTTCAAACTTAATGATAGTGTGTATCACCATAGAAAGACAATCTGATTAGATTTTGGAGCACGTAGGTCAAAGGTCAAGGGTCACAGAGGTCAACTTATGAAATTCCATACATTGAGATTGTTATCATGATATCTCAAGAACCACTGGAGATTTAAACTCCAAACTTGTTTAAATTGCTCTATGGCGGAGGCATCATTTTCGACTGCGCGCAGTCAAAATTCCATCTAGTTCTAATTCTTAACTAATGTGCTTCATTTTTGCTCAGGTTTAATTTTCTCTAACATGAATACTATTTTTTTTCTTTGCAGTACACTGTGATGGTATTTGTGGTCTTCATTGCTCTATTCGCTTGTGGAATCGCTGGATTTATATTTGAAAAAGGAGTAAGTACCGGGAAATTGATATGGAATTGATTAGTTTGATGAAGGTAGAGGTCTTTGTGTTTTAGAGTACCAGTAGCAGTTGTGTTTATCCTGATTTACAGTGTTAAAAAAGGAAATATACGGTGTCATGGCTAAAATGTATGTACCGGTAAATATTTATTGATCATTTAATAACTGTGGAATAACTTACTATTAATAATTAGGAAATCACCATTGTTAAGTACTTTTAAATCAAAGCTGAAAGCAAATCTTTTCATTTAAATTTTGTTGTAGATTTTTAGCACATCAGGAGCTCTTGCAGTCCAGTAAAATATATTTGCATATTGTCTGCACTTTATAAATTTATATTATTATTATTATTATTATAAACCAATTATTTTTCCGAGATATACTACTATGGAGTAATATGAAATAAGGGAATTCCGGTCCCAAACTGCAAACAAAAAACAAAAAATTGTAGGAGTCGTGCTGCTTGTAATCTCTTTTTTTCCTCCTTATTTTTGTCTGTCAATGTGAACTCATAATCATTTTGTTCTTAATTTTGATCCAGCTTACATCAAGTTTCAAGACTGGCCTTGAAACTCATATTGATGACTACGGGGCAGCCACTTCAGACGGACTTGACAAATATGTGGATAATCTTCAAGAAACTGTAAGTAAAGTTGGATCGCTCCGGGAACATCGAGTCTATCCTTAAAGGGCAATCTAACCCTTGTTCTAAGTTGATTTGTATGAAAGCAAAAAAATAACAGAAACAGAATGGCAAAAGTTTGAAATGAATCAGACCAATAGTAAGGAAGTTTTGAATGTTTGAAATATGAGATCACTAAGTCTATGTGTGGATCGGTCAGTAGATTGTGACGTAGGACTTGGATAACTCTCCTATTAGCCGTGTACAAAAATATCACTAATTTCTGTTTTTCTCGTAAGTTCCTTATCCCTTGCCGCACTACTCAAAATATATTATAGATAGCATATTATTATAGGTAATCTAAAAAGAATAGACCATCCCGAGTCATTTTATATGTTGGAACAGATGGGAAAGTAGTCAAACACTACAGTGTACATCACATTGTCTCTACCGCTTCAGCCAATTTGAAGTGACCATACATATAGTGATTACAATTTTCAAAAATTCATAACTTTCTTATATCTACGGTAGTCAGATTTAATTGAAACTTTCATCAGTTTGCTTATCTGATTTTTCTGCTTTCTTTTAGAGTAGTTGTCTACTTGGGTTGGATTTCCCTTTAATACTCAAAGCCCCTATCAGGGATGGGCAAAATCTCAAAATGTATCTATAGCGGCAAAATAAGTTTTTGAAAGTGCGTTCAAAATTTCAGATCAAAAGACGCTGTGCTTCTCTCTCTATGAGTGAAAATCGAAGCCATCATTTTGTACTCAACAAATGGGGTGAATAAAACAGTCAGTTGCAAAATTCAAATGTGGTAACACAAATTACTGTAATTTTGCTAATAATAATTCTTTTGCCAAAGCAACTAATGCTCAATTATATCATCTACCTATAAACACCTAGATGGAATGTGGTAAACGTAGATCACTGTCTTGCTAAGGGGTGTTGGTGCCAGGCTGGGATTCGAACCCTTAACCTTGTGATTGAAAGTCTAGTGAATGAACCACTAAACCATGACCCCACTTTATGGTAAGCTGAAAATCAAAACCAGTTTTGGTATTATAAGTGAGTGTTAAGTCTTTTTCTTTCTTTCTGTGTGTGGTATTAAATTCCTTCTTCTTTTTTTACTCCATGAAGCTTTTCTGCTGTGGTGGTACAAACTACTCAGAATGGCTCCATGCAGACATTTGGTCCCAGGAACACACCGACACTGTACCCGTAAGCTGTTGTAATAAGACCGTCGACGCCCAGGTCTGCGACGATGCCACAGAGAAGGATGGCGTCCAGATAAGCAACAATGGAACGCTATATATATTTGATGAGGTAGGTTGTTTACGTTTGTGTATGGGATATAGCATCCGCAAGTGGTGTTCACTTTGGTAATTATTTTCGTTTTAAAACGTCAACATTTATATGCCTTGCATGGGTGTAGATCATTGCAAGCTGTGTGTGCATATCTTGGACATAATTGATTGAAATCTTGTTGGGGGTTATGCAACAACTTGGCAGATTTTTCTTCTTTTTTAAATCTCAAAATCCCAAAATTTAAATACCGGTAACTAGCCTGTGGAGAGAGATGTAAGAAAATCACAACAGATTGCGTTTACATATTTTTGTAATAGTCCAGAATACTATTCGTTAATTGGAAATCTTGTAGGGAATTTTGTTTTAAATATCAACATTTACATTACTTGCATGCGTAACGAGATTTACAAATCCTTGAAAAATCTATGTGCATATCTTTATTGCATTATAGAATGTTATAGATGGAAAGCTTGTAGGGAATTCAGCAATAACTTGTTGATACAAATTTCATTATTATTATTTATTTTTTTTAAATAAAAAAATTTAAAAAAAAACAAAATTTACATAACTTGCATGTGAGGATTGATGTACAAATCACTGCGAAATCTGTGTGCGTATTCATATTTTTTATTTGAAAAAAAAGTATTAAAAAAAGTGGGGGCATAATTTACAAACAACCACAGCTAGAACAAAAAATCTTTAGCTATCAAACAAATAAAAGGTTATCATAATTGTATACCGGTATTCTATCCTACTCTGAATTTTGTGAGTACTTCAGTAATGCACGAGGGTTTTTTTAAAAAGAAGATGTATGTGCAAGGCTGGTTGTGCCCCCCCCCTCCCAAGTTCCACCAGCACATGTATACCTTTCATATACCTTTCTCATCTCTTCCCTATCTTCCCCTCTCTCCTCTTTTTTGCAGGGTTGTTCAGCTAAAGTGACATCATTCCTTACCAGTAAGATGGGCATCATCGCTGGTAGTGCTCTAGCCTTTGGAGCTTTCCAGGTGAGGATAAATTCTTTAATAAGAAAGATAGAAAAGCAGACAGACAGACAGACAGTAAATAAAACAAACATACAGACAGGGAGATGATAGACAAATAAAGCAGACAGACTGGCGTACTGACATACAGTCACACAGACAATTAGGCAGTCATGAATAGTGATGGACAGACATACAGACATAAAATAAAAAAAACAGACAAACAGGGAGATGATAGAAAAATAAAGCAGACAGACTGGCATACTGACATTCAGTCATACAGGCAACCAGACAGTCAAGAAGAGTAATGGGCAGAAAGACAGACAGACATATGCTGACAGACAGGCAGAAGGGCAGACAAAAAGATGGATCGATACAGAGACAGGAAAAGGCAAAGACATAATCAGATATTCAGGAAGGCCATTCTACCAACAGGCATATAGACTCACAGACAGGCAAACAAACAGAGGGACTGAGATAGTTGAAAAGTACTTGGGAGGATGACGTAGCAGACAGACTGACAGATAAAAAGATGGACAGACAAAGAGAGACAGACATATTGTAGACAAGTAGAGAGATAGGTATAGACCCGCAAACGGGCGAACAGACAGACTGAGATAGTTGAAAAGTACTCTGGAGGATGATATAGCAGACAGATGGACAGACAAAGACAAACAGACATAGACAAAAAGATTGATGGCCAGAAAAATGAACTGACAGGAAAACAAGCTGACAGACATGTAGACAGACAGACAGACTCAAAAAAAGAAATACAAAATGTTTAATGGACAAGCAGACAGATATTATGATAGAGAAGGACAAACAGGCAGACTGGACAGATGTTTAAGTAGACAATTACAGACTGGTTGTAAGACTTGACAGACACGTGCAATATTTATATTATATTGACTGGGCTTGAGGGGTATATCAGGTATATTGACCAAGCTAAGATCATATTGCCCTGAGTGGAAGACGAGGGCAATATGGTCTTAGCGCGGTCAATATTTCTGATGTACCCCGAAAGAAGCCCTGTCAATATAATTATTATTACCTAAACAAGGCATTTTTAAGCAAATTATGGATAGGGACCTATATACAACTTTGGTATCGAGCTTGATTTTTACCGTCTGTTTGCCGGTCCATCTGATTTCAGGTTATTCAGGCAGGTGTGTAATTGTGACATAACAATGACTGTTACTGTGTGTAATTGTGATGTAACAATGATTGTTACTGTGTGTAATTGTGACGTAACAATGATTGTTACCGCGCGTACACTTTAACGCCTACACAATACTGTGCGTAAAGCGCACTGACAAGACAGAGTGGAATATGGCTCAATATTGCCCTCTGATTTAGTACAGTGGTATATGGCAAATATTCACCTCTTCGGCTTCATATTCGGAGCAGCGTGCAAAATACGACTTTTTATTTAGCAGCTAAAATGCCTTGTATAGGTAATAATCAATATTATTTTGAAGATAGAATTGTGGAGTGTTGGGTAAAATGAGGTCAAAGGTCATAAGGGAATATTAACAATATGGACAGGGTTCATATACTTTAATACTGCAGTAAGATGAGAAAACTCTATAACAATTGCCTTTTTTTCTTCCCTTTTTCTTTCTTTTACAGTTAATTGGAATCGTGCTATCATGCTGCCTTGCTAAAATGATTAATGCCAATAAGTACGAGATGATGTGAGACTATCAACATGAATGATGCAATTTCTTAGATATTTCAAGATAGAAAACACTGCGGTATCTTCACTTTCACCTTTACATCTCCCTACATTGCTGATACCATAGTTCTAATTGTTGAGAGTTTGATTTCGAAATGTGCAAACAGCTGTATTATGTGAGAGGAGAGACCCGAGGGTTACAGCGATTCAGTACATTTTTCCCTTCCCAGGCACACGTGACACCAGTTACTTCAGAATAATTACAGCCTGCTATAAAGATGAGATTTAGATTAAGAGTAATATACAATTATATTGGCAAAATAGTATATTTAAACATCTGTAGCGGTAGACTATCAGATGTTTTTAGTTTATTTAAAGGCTGAATAGCTGTAATTAATCAGTGAAAATTGATGATATGATACGACACACGCTCAAATTTAGTCAGGACATTTACAGTAACTACCAGATGTGCAATTGTACAGTTTTGAACATTGTAAATGATGACATCCCACACCATTTTAATTTGCATACATCGAGGGGTCAGTGACACAAAGGCGTTACTCAATATTTTGCCAAAATGAGTATTTGATATCAAAATGTTCAGAAAAATGTAGGCTTTTCAGGAAACAAAAAGACTTAACTCCACCCAACACCCCATTAAAGTCAATGGCTAGTGAAACATAGACCTAACTCCTTAAGGACCAAGTGCTTAGTGACACATAAACCACTTTTTCTCACAATGGAGTTACGTCTTTGTGTCACTGACCCCTCAACATATTTTATCATGTTTCTCTGTCATTTCATCACAGCATTCATGAATGAAGTAACATGGAAAGAAGAATTGTGTTTTTTTTAGAACCAGAAGGCGTTAACTCAAATACTTTAAAACAGAGCTAACGCCCTTCTGGCTCTACTTAGACAATTTAATCATTAACAGATCTATATGAATCATGTTTATGTCTGAAACAAGAAATTACAATGTTTTAGGCCCAGAAAGGCCATGATTGTTATTCAGCTTAATTCTTTTACTCTTTTTTTTAGCATACATGTATATCAATAATATAATATCATCTCAGCCATTACTTTTATTTAGTCACAATTTTTTTTTTTTAATGTGAATAGATATGAGATTTTTTAATTTTCAATTGATAACAAATCAGCATTATTTGAGGCAGAGGTAAAAACTTTTATTGTTAAGTTTAAAAATCGGTGAATCTATACGCTACAGCAAAGAGTACCATTTATACGTTTAATATTGTCGTTATTTTCAAAGTGCTTGCAATATATGCCAAGCAGGGTATCACGTTAAGTTGTTTTAAGCATGTGCATTTTCTGTGACAAAGGGTCTTTTTATTTTTAAGTTTGTAATATAGAATTTCCGGTATTTATTTCACAATAGGCTGATGTAGACTAGCTGTTATCTAGACCTTCAACATTTATGTAGCATTCTGCACGCATTAGATATATTACATTAGTCATATAGAATTTTTAGTAGCTTGTATTCATCTAAAAAGTGTGAGTTGGTGGCTAAAGTTGGTATAAAGCCCCACTGCACTACTTATAGCTACTTGCGCCCTCTATATAGCAAAGAATGCCTAACAATAATCAGTGCCTGTTGGTCCCCCATGATCCCCTTTTTCTTATGTTAATTGAGAGCTGATTTGACAAGATAATCACCTGTCAGTGACCTTGTGGGGAGGTCTAATCCCCCTGCCCAAACTAGTGCAGACAGGCTTTAATATATGAAGCTAAATTTAGTAAATATGATTTTAGTGCTGTCATTAGTTAAACATATTAATGATGCTTGTCAAATATTTCTGCCTTGGTGACAATGTTTGATGATAGCTTTACCTGACTACTAAGAAAGCATGTACAGTCAAACCTGTCTATAGCAAACGCCTAAGGGAGACAAGAAAAGTGGTCTTTACAGACGGGTGGTCATTATGTACAGGTTCTTTTAGTACATGTTTCAATGAGAAACCATTTTCAAGGATAACCAAAAATGTGGTCTTTGTAGACCGGTGGTCACTAAAGCAGGTTTGACTGTATATGCAATTATGCTTGTAAGTAAGCAACCAGGGGACCGACGGCTTTTTAGTCCTCTCTGAGGTACTTGGTAATGAGGATTAAAGCCTTACCAAAGGGCATGAGCCCATTGACATGGTTTTGAACCCAGGACCTCCCGGTCAAGATACCACCGCTCTACCATCGCGCCTCCTTAAAAAAATCACCCCAAGTACTTTTAAGCTAAGAGTTGAGATAAGAGTCACAAGGAACTCATATTTTGTGTAATTTTATTATCAAGCAGCTCATCATCAGTGCTTTGGTGTTAAATCTACACATGCCTGCCCTACTTATCATTGTGACATACTGGTACTAACGTTGCTGCCATAATATAAATAATGTTTGTATTCTCTGTTTCGAGTATTAAGTGATTCTACTGTTCATCCCTCAACCTCAATCATTGTTTTAAGATACTATATTTATGATATTGTATGTACGGAGCCGGAATGGCATTAACTCTGTGTTAAAGCACAGGAGTTTAACACCCTTCTGGCTCCAAACAGACGATATTTCTGCTTTCCAAACAGATATGTTTATTGATACCGTTGTGAAGTGATATTGTGGAATTTTCATTTTATGCTATAATCACCAAATAACATGATTCAAACTCATTTTTTTTAATGTAAGGAATATGAAGATTGATTTTATGGATATGTTATGTAAAAAAGTTGTCAAATTTTCTCTCTTTTTCTCTGTTGATCTGTCATGCTCAAGCTATAATCATCTGTACTTAATGGATAATGTGGTTATACTAATCTGCAATGACTTTGCAATTGAATTGAAATAACAACTGAAAAGTATTCTTAATATTTGTGCGTCACATATTTTTATCATGCTTTGAATTTTATTCTCACTTTCTTCTCCTCTACTCTCTCTCTCTCTCTTCCCGTTATAAGACTATATCCTCATTCATTTTTTCTTTTCATGTGCTCTTTATTCCACTCTTTCTAACCAGTAATCTTCAATTTTATTGTTAAACTAATTTTAGTTATTATTGATTTTTGTTGTCATTTTGAAAAGTGATATAACATGTGTCAAACTTTGTAAAGAGGAATATGTGGAACATATGCAGAGAAAATCATTCCTGGATACCACATAAGAACTATATGCAATTTGTAAAAGTAGATACCGGTAATTACGTCGTTGCAAGCAGTTTGGGATTTATGCAAATGATGCCTAATTGAAGTCAAAGGGGGAGGGGGGGGGGGTGGAATAAATTTCCTCTGTCTACTCTTCAGAAGAAAAGGAATGAAAGTTATGAAACGATAAACATGAGATTTATTTGTGGACAATAATCTCACAATAACCAGAGTTACTTTATAGAATCAACGACTTTAAACAAATATGGTTTGTATAGAGTGTACGATTGATTTAGCAGATATTTTTTTTGTTTTGTAAATGTCATTTTATGAAGGTTTATTTCAGTACAATGAATTCATTCATGTCTGGGTAGAAAATTTCACTCCCGGCATTTCATAGAAAGATAGATATGTGAAATTTGAATCATTAAATTATATCATTGCTTTAATAGGTAGAAGAGAAGAAGTTCAGAAGGAAAAAAATTATTAGTATATAAATATGTACATGTACAATGCAACAAATATATTAACGCTATTCTTAATTGCACGCTATGCACCGAAATGCGCACGTTATATACTCATAAGGCTGAATGCTTTATTGCACCCACTAGGAATCATGTATGTATATGTATAAAAGATATCTTATCAAAAACATTATATAGCCATTAGTTTAGCCAAATAATCAAGTTATGTAGATTTGGTAGTAATTGTTTTGTGAAAATGTGTACTAAAAAAGGGATTTATTTCTTGTGTTTCTACTTTAGAGTAAGAGCATCCACTAAAGCTTTATAGGAGAATTAAATTGAAAACATATTTACGGTACACTGCAATTCTTCATAAGTGCTATTGCTGTATGCGATACAATATTGTTATTTATATACACTGATGTTGGTTCGCATTGAATACTATGTTTCAATGCTAAATGGTCTATTTTAGATTGATGCTTTCATTATTTCACTTTCAGCAATGGCATTCTATGTATGAGTTCAGTGGCTTTATTTCATTCCTCTTGTATCTACATGTATCCCCACATTAACCAAGTGAATTAATTGCTTTTTTTAAAGTATAATATTAAGATATATTTCTTTTTAAATGATTGAATTTGTTAGAATGTCATTTTCTTTGACATGTTGCGCTAATTTCTCATCACAAGGTTTTTTTTTTAAATGTAAAAAAAGTTATGACACAGGAGAAAATAATGTGAATGAGGTGTAAACCCACCATTGTAATTTATATTACAGAACATAAATTTAAAGTTAGTAGTAAATGAACCCTAGATTTTGAACCCCCCCCCCCCCCCCAGAAGAATTCCCTGTACAAGCATTCTTTGATATAATATAGCTTTCTTGATTTTGCCTTGAGAAATCCCCAATTTTTGCTTTGAAAGTTTGGCTGGGTTTCAACCACTATGTTTCATTCCTATGCCCTAACGAAACGTGCCTTTATTGAAAAAACGTTGAAGATTAATACCATTTAGAACTAGTCGTCACTTCTGATAATTAAATCGTGTTTCAAGAGAAATTTGCTTGCTTATAAGAAGTTTATTCTGCATTGGTTTTCTCAAATTTTATTTGTTTTTTTGCCAGCTAAGTATATCAACATTTTTTGTTCGTTTAATTGCTCTGAACTTGTAATTACTCTCACTAACAAAGGATATGTGCAACTAACATTTGAGCATATAACAGGACACCTTGCTTAATCGGATTTCTCTTTAATATTTTTCTTTCTTTCCCAATACAACTCAAGTATAAGTTACTCAGATATAAATTTTAGACCAAAATTGTTTGGTAAATATCATTATTTGAAGTCCTGAAAGTTCAGTCTAAGTTTTTTTTAATGCCTTGAGAATAAATTTGATGTCATTATCACAACCCAAGATTACCATTAAAAATTTCTTTTTTTAATTGTTTTTTTTTTAAATAGAAAATTGTATGTTGACCTTGACAGCATGACAATGTCCCACCTAATTTTTAGTCCTCATTTAGTAAGGAATGAGCAACATTGTTAGTGTCTTGACAACGTAATTGCAACATTTCTATGTTTAGTTGTTGAGAATTGACTCAGTGTAACCTTCAATGAGCTTCAAAAGCATGTGAGATATCCCCACCCCCTCCCCTTTTATTACCTGCATTGTTTTTTTTTCTCAATATGAATCATTTCTGTCGATGTGTCTTATTTATGAATATTTACTATTTTTATGCATCTAAGGGTAGTTCATAATTCTGATCATTTTCCTATCTGCTTTATAATGCAATGTCTGTCAATGTGAAAAATAAATGAGCTATTAATTGTGAGAAAAAAGGAGAGAATTGGTTTTTGTCCTAGGGTCAGAAATATTATTGTGGAAATATGAGTGCCTGATATGGAAGATGATAAAACTAATAATTGTACTACATTAGTATACTACACAGTATTATCACTAGGCCTGATAATTACCTAATTGAAGTCGGTTTCCATTTTTTAAAGATTTTTTTCCCCATTCTCTTTTTTCTTTCCGATTTTCCCCTTATTTTCTGTATTTTTCCAAATTTTCTTACTCAAAAGGGGAAGAATGTTAGATGCCATTGCCCCCCCCCCCCCCCGATTCCTCTCTTGTTTTTTTTTTACTCAAGGAGGGTGTGGTTGAGGAAAAAAAAAAAACATTTAATTACAGTCAGACAAGCATACAGGGGCCCGCCTTCGGGCCCCTGGCGTGGTCTAGGAGGCAGAGCCCCCGTAAACTCGGGGGTTTTAGGCATTTAATTACGGTCAGATGAGCATATTTTGATTCCTCATTTGTGACTCTGGCAGGCACTATCTTTCTGTCTTTCATTCTATTTCTCTTCAACATTCTTTCTTTTTAAAGTGAGGGGGTTGGGGACTTGAGCCCCCCGAGCCTTGCCGATCCGCAGGCCCTGCCATGTAGGCATCTAAATAAGATAATCATATTTTTTGCCCAATTAAGAAAAACGTTTGAATTTGATTGGGAGGGGGGGGGGGCAACTGCCCCCAAGCCCTCCATCATTACGCCAGTGCGAGGGACAAGAAAGTGACTACCCCTTTACGGGTTTTTGAAGTTTTGTTGTATTAAAAAATTACATTCCTTAGCAAACTTATAGTATAAAACCAAGCAATATACCTTTTTTCACACTTCCCTTTTACTTTGCCAGAAAATAGTGTGCAGGCTGTAGGGTTGTAAATATCAGTTTAGTAGGTAAATTTTAGTAATTAGGGAGCTTGGGCATGGATGGGATTTCTATTTCTATTTTCCGCTCTAGGCCTCCATCATATACGTGTATATTGATATCGCTATGGAAGTCGAAATGGCAAATACATAGACTATGCTGTAGTGACTCCTTACTGAAAAGAGCAAGCGGAATATTCATTTTTGTAGCACTGATCTATTTCTTTAACTCTTTGTGAACATACAGTGTAAACTCTGCTACGTTTCTTCAAGGCTAT